GGATGATTCCGAAGAAGACATTCCAAATTACATATGACTCTATTTTTAGTATTTGTGTTATTTGAATAGTTTTAAAAGAATAATTGTTAAAAAATATTAGTCGCCAATGTGTGAATTTTTCAGATTTATTGTGCTGCATCCAATACGAGTTACCAACTTAGGATGTTTTAATCGAGTTAATTGGACTGAAATTTTTTGGACTGGTTTGATCGGTTTGATTTGGTGTGATAGATGTTTGGTCTCTGTGCATATTTTAACTGCAGAAGTTTGGTCTGGTCTGAGACTTAAATAAGTCAAAATAAAACATTCTTATAGCCCGTTTGGTGACCCCTATTTTTAGCCTTACAAGTCAATTTTTTATCAAAAGCTTAATATTTAATTTAGGACGCTGAGTGGTGTAACTTTTTTATGTCATCACCTAACCAATTTTATCAGATTCAACCTATTTCAAATAGGATATATAACTTACTTTTGGGCTATACAACTATTCCTCCAAATTTATTTGGTGTTTCCATATCATTTTGGCGGTATTTGAAAAAAATTCACTGCCTAAAAAACATAGGGAAATGTCAGCGCATTAAATCCGAGTTGGTTAAACTTGAGATCCTAGCTCGGATGGGAAGGGGTCTAGGAGATCGTAACTCGTGGTTTTAAGCTTGGATCCCTACCAACCCATGGTTGTGAAATATTAGGTCTAGGAGATCGCTACAAGAGTTTCCTGCCTTCACCAAACTCGAGAATAATTCCTACCATTCTACCAACCCATTCTCATGTATGCAGCTGTTACTCGCTGCTCCTACTATCTTCCTTAGCATTACTCTACTCTACAAACAACTAATCAAGGTATATCCCTACATACTTACCTGTAGTATTAGATTTGTCGTTTTGATCATTATAAAATTCTAATTTATAGGATGCAAGTGTTCATAACTGTCTTGTTCATCTAATTCGATTTTCCACAATGTAGTTCATTCATCAAAATTATTCGGCACACAACACGTATTTTGGAAAAAGGGTCAAATACACCCTTCTACTATCATGGATCAGTCACCTAACCCCATGTACTAAAAAAACAATCATATAAACCCCTTTACTTTATAAAAACATCAATATAGCCATTTTTACCGGAAGCAACCCTCTGGAGCAGGTTAAATGCAAATTTGACTTTTTCTCTTTCATTTATTCTTCTTTTCTCTTTACTTTTCTTAAATATTTGTCCTGACTTCTCTTCCCATTCTTAGGCTTCACAACTTCACAGGGGATGGTGCAGATTTTTTTTAATCTCTCTTCGCTCTCTTTCTCTCTCTATATAGTTGACCGTTTGACCTTGGCAGTGCCTGAATATTGAGTTTGTTAAGTCTCCCGTGTTTGATTTTTGTTGCATATGGGTTTTAAAATTCTAGGGGTGTAGTTTTAGTTGAAGACTCAGAACCCTGTTGTTGTGATGGTATTACTTAACATTCCCATACGTAAGCTCCATATGAATAAAGAATTTACATAGGAATATTTCTGTTTGGCAACCGTTTTCTTTATTGAACATCGATGATATATTCTGTATCATACACACACATATATATAGTTGGCCACAAATTTACAAACCGAAATCATTAATTGGGGTTTGAAGAACGACTGAGTTATCTATTGGTAGTCAAACATATATAAGAAAACAGTGAGAATAGTTCTAGATTAAGCTTTAATAGAGGAGTTCTGTTAAAGAAAATAGCCTCATCGGCAACGCAATTTATATACAAGTAGAGGTAAACTAAAAATGTTTGCTCATATAGAAAATTAATAAATAAATTGATAAAGACGAAATGGAAAGAAAAATGATTAAGATGCAGAGGACGTAGAGGTGGGAATGGAGGAGAAGGGTGTAATTGTGTAAATAGAGGTGACCGGCTAGAATAGGTTACCCTCCAAGTAATTTGGTTAAAATGATTGATTTTAAAAGTAAACGGGTTTATATGATTGTTTTTTTAGTACATGGGTGTATGTGACGGTTCTATGATAGTAGAAGGGTGTATTTGACCCTTTTCCCACGTATTTTATGCCTGCAAAATGTTCGACAAAATACCCCATTTAAAATACAACACCTTTCACATACTTCATTATACTATAACAACCTTCACTTAAACTTCAAAAAATGCAAACACCTTACTTCAACATTATCAAAATCGCAGGCATATTATAGGACAAAAAGAGATGCAGCTTGTCTTAATACATTTAACACTACAAATATCAATTAGAATACTACTTTGAATCTCAAGTAATTCAGTGATGATTTAATAGGAAGAAAATTTAATAAAGAATTTATTCATTAGATACCTTACAATTAAGTGGCAGAGTACTTTCAATTACAAAGAACATGGAGCGATAGGAAAGAGATTTCAAACGAGAGTATATACAATTGGTAAACCAACATTTTTTGTTTCTTTTAAAATTATATTCAACATTTTATAATACTTTTACATTTAAATTCATGTCTTTTATTCTTTTAATTTAGTTTTACCTATTTTTTCTATTCTTATATTTAGATTTTTAAATTCTATTTTTCTAAAGACTTACAAAAAACTGACCTGCTATATATAGAAGATAAAGTTTGATAAAACAGTTGAATTACATCTTTTTTTAAGTAAGCGTCTTATAAGATTTTGGATACTTTTTTGTATGAGGTTAAACAAAGAGATATATAGTATAGGACTATAGGTATCTACTTTAATTCGTTTCCTAATGTCAATATTTAAGAAAGTCAATTCTCCAAATTCAAAACTAAACTGGGTTTAGTTGTTTGCAAATGAAAGATTATGTTTCTTAAATAACGGGAGATATAAATGGGTAATGAGTGTGTTAGTATTTTGATAAGCATACAAACATGTATTACTATTGGGTAGGCAGCAGCGGAGTATTGACAAGCAGGCAGATTGTTCTGGTCTCTCCAAGGCCGGCCTGAGTGAAGATCAACTATTCTGGTCATCCCTAAAACAAATGCCTGGAAGTATGCTTCCTGGTTTCCCCTATACATGACCACGTAGCGCCTGATATCGTAGCTGGTGAAGAGTATTGTAGGATTTGAACACCCCTTTTAAAGACACCAAATCCTTGAAGAATGGTTGTTGAAGACATTAGGCGTGGTGTCCACACCTAAGTGACATTTCCATCCCCACCAAGTAGACACATCTTCTCTAGCTTTTCTCTGAACTCAAGGTGAGTGGCGGGTTCAGTTTACCCGAGCCTGATTGGTTGTAAAGCTGGAAAACGATGAAGAAGCACCTGCATTTATTCAGGGAATGCAAGCCATAGACGGCAACCGGGTCTTGGACTGAAAGATAGAGTGTGGTGAAGAGGTTAATGAGGGAGGTTGCTTTTGTTCTCAGTCATGACATATTATACTGTGTGAATCCTGTTGGCTTGCTGTTAAGCCGTCCAACCTTACCAGCTTCACATCCCAATAAAGCCCATTACAAATTTTCAGACTTAGGAAGGATAGTATTAGTAAGTACAAGAAAATCGTTAACAATTACTCCCATTAGGGAAAATTAAATGTTAAAATAAATATGTCATTAATATACATGTTTAGAGTAAAGTCTCGCATGATCTCAATTGTCATGCAAGTTCTTTGAAGTTTGAACAAATTTCACTACTACTTATGGATCCCTCATTTGCTATAGCAGTGAATTATAAATATGGTTTAGTGTGAAAAAATACGGAAATACCTGCCTTTAATTACCTGATAAAATTTCATTTATGTCTTGTTACCTAATGAATAACTGCTATTTAAATGATGGATGATAATTGAAGTTTAAAAAGTATAAGGACATGCAACTCAGTTCTGATACTTCACAACCAAACACAAAAAAAAACTTTCTCTCTTCTCTAAAAAACTGGAGAGGACTTAAAAGAAGATTATACAGAGAACTGGAGATTGGAAAAGATTTTATTGAAGTAGGCGACACTGAAGAAGGTGTCGCTCAGGTACGTCGCCTGAGGAGTTGGATCTGCGTAAATATTAAAAAAATTGAAAACCTGCGTCGTTTTCCATTTCCAACTCTAACGGCCTGTTTGGATGAGGTGTTGAGGAGTGTTAGTAATGGAAGTGTTAAGGGGTGTTAGTCTTAACACTTGTTTGGGAGAGAAATTTAAAAAAAAATGGAGTGTTAGTAAGTGTATAAAAGTGTTAAGGGAAACCTTCCTAACACCTCAATATGTGACTTTTTCAACACTCCAAATTGGAGTGTATTGAAGTGTTGGACTAATCTTGCCCTTTCACGTTGTTCTATCGCCATCCCGCAGCTTCCGTTTTTTCCCACCCTGAACATTCATTCGATTCTTTTTCTCCATCTCCACCAAGTTAGTTCTTATCTCACCTTCTCTGTAACTATATTATACCAAGTATATACGAACATTCTTTCAAAGTTTCATGATGTACATATGAGAATATTGCAAACCGAGTATATTGTATTTACCAGAGGTCAGAGTGTGTTTTATATGCATCTATTCAAATATGCTTTGCTGGGTGCGATTCTAGAAACTGCAAAAGCTGGTGATAAATCGCGTGTGGGAGTATAGTCCACCGGTGTACGGGCCGTACGGCCGACTAGATACGCGGTCAAAGGAACCGAACACTACCGAGAAAGAAAGAGCAAGTGCGTCGGGATTGGGATGTGAAAGAAGCAGAGTGTTGCTGATGGGCTTCAAGTCGGCTGCAGAATGGTAGTGCAGCGGCGGAAGGGAAACTGATACCAGATCTGTGAAAAATTATTGAACATTCGAAGCTTTGAACTGTAGCAGGTTTTAAAACAATATATCTAGGATTAAAACGAGGGTATTAAAATGAGGACATTATGGTCAATTTTACTTAAAACACTTCCGTTATTAACACTTCACTTTTTTAACTCTCCCAAACAAGGTAAGTTTATGTCTAACACTTACACTTACTTTCCCTTCCGGGCCATTGCCAACACTTACTAACACTTCCATTACTAACACTCCATCCAAACGTACCGTGAGAGTCGCTTCGGAAATCCGACTAGTAGAGTCGTATTCTTTCCCTAGGCATGAACGACGAAGATCGACGATCCCACGTTCTTACGAGTTTACCAGTTGATCCAGTGATCTCCCAGCGTTTTCTGATCTTAGGCACGATCCAGCTTGACCTTACAACCTTAAGTCGTAAAATCGTACAAGTTAGCAATCTTAGTCGCGACCTTACAACCTTGGTTAAATCACCTAAACCTAATGTTTCGACCTCAAACTCTTCCATTATTCTATCGTTCTTATCAATATGTTGAGCGCCGCTACTTTCAATCGTCAACTAAGTTATTAGAATCATAAAAGAGATGTACTATCATGGAAGAGAACACTGACACTCACTAGTCACTACCACAGGTTGTATTGTTGCAGTTAAAGTTAAATTGGGTGGCCGTGGTATAAGGAGTTTAGTTAGTTGTTCAAGCTCATATCCATTATTTCAGGTTTTACTAGTGTGTGGCTTAATTTTGTATTCTGATATTCTGTATACGCAATTAAATTTTTGACTTTTTCAAATCCTCTACTTTGTTGCTGGTTGCTGGTTTTTTGAATCCTCTACTTTGTTGTTTCATGATCATGAAATAGGGGTACGAGTTTTACCCAATTTATGTCATTTCCAAAACAGACCTCACAAAATATATTTAACTAATACGTAGTATTAATTTAATAAAGAAATGATGTAATTATATGAATTGGTCTTTAAGAGTTTAAGAGTTATTAGATGCTTGGTACATTGTTATTGTCTTCCTCAATAACAGTTTTATGTAGATGACTCCTTACAGGGTTTTAGCTCTCTTGAAATCGCGTACTGCATCGAGATGGAGTTGCAGGCCATTTCAAAAACGGGAGACCAAGATTTTGCACCAAAAAATTGTTACTCTCGGCTTGCAAAGCAGCATCCCATTATCAAAGGGCCTTACAGATTTGTACTGTTGTTGCCAAGATTTCCGATCCGCCAAGTTGGTCTTCCAGAATCTTAACAACCCTCTGGACATCACTTTATGGAATGGCCTCATGGCGGCTTATACCTGCAACTCCGGCTTCATCGAAGCTCTTGAGCTCTTCATCAGGTTACTGCTCTTATCCCCTTACCTCAAGCCCGACGCCTACACTTATCCCAGTGTTCTTAAGGCATGTAGCGGTCTAGGTTGCCACGTGCAAATCGGTAAAGCAGTACACGGCCGCTTGATCAAGACTGGTTTCTTGTTTGATGTGGTCGTTGCAAGCTCTGTGGTGGGAATGTATGCAAAAGGGGGTGATTTTAAAGCAGCAACTGAGGTGTTTGATGAAATTCCCGTCAGAGATGTGGCTTGTTGGAATACTCTTATTTCATCTTATTACCAAAGTGGAGAGTGCGGCAAAGCTTTAGAGTTGTTCGAGAAGATGAAGGATTCTGGAAGCACGCCAAACTCTGTGTCTTACACAGCTGCCATATCTTCTTGCGGAAGGCTTCTGGATTTAGACAGAGGCGAGAAGATCTATGCTGAACTTGCGAAAGATGGGGTTTCCCCAGACTGTTTTGTTTCCTCTGCTCTTGTGGACATGTTTGGGAGATGCGGTCATATAGAGAGAGCAGAGGAGGTGTTCAGGCGAATCCCAAACAAGACTTTGGTTTCTTGGAATGCCATGATTTCCGGGTATAGTTTGAGAGGCGATAGCAAGGCGTGCATTGACCTTCTTCTGAGGATGAATGAAGAAGATATCAAACTTTCTCTGACAACCTTAACCAGCTTGCTGATGTCGTGTTCCAGATCGGCCCAACTGTTGCACGGTAAGTTTGTCCATGCTTACATCATCAGACACAATATAGAAACCGATATGTTTGTTCAATGCTCGCTAATTGATCTCTACTTTAAATGTGGAAAAGCTGAGACCGCCAAACGAGTCTTTAGTACAACCCCAAAAGGCGATGTAACTGCCTGGAATACAATGATCTCTGGGTTCGTGTCATCCGGATTTTACTTGGATGCCCTTGACATCTATAGTGACATGAATGTGGTGGGAAGTATAAAACCTGATGCAATCACGTTCACTAGTGTATTAGTGGCTTGTTCACAATTGACAACCTTAGATAAAGGGAGAGAGGTTCATAATAGTATAGTTGATCATAAGTTCGATTCAAATGAAATAGTAATGGGAGCACTACTGGACATGTATGCCAAATGTGGTGCTGTTAATGAAGCTTTTGAAGTGTTCTCCCATCTTCCCCGGAGAGATATTGTCTCATGGACCTCTATGATTGTGGCTTACGGGTCCCACGGCCGGGCACTTGAAGCTTTACACCTCTTCCATGAAATGCTCCAACTGTCTGATATTAAACCTGACAAGGTCACATTTCTTGCAGTCATTTCGGCTTGTAGCCATGCGGGATTAGTTGATGAGGGTTGCCATTATTTCAATTTAATGATTAATTATTATGGAATCAAACCTGGAATTGAGGACTACTCTTGTCTCCTAGATCTTCTAGGACGTTCCGGAAGATTAAGTGAAGTGTATGGAATTCTTCAGAGACACCCTTCCATGAGAGAAGATGTTTCGTTGTTAAGTACACTGTTTTCTGCTTGCTATATGCACAAGGAAGAAGAAGGTATCAGGGAGGAAGTTGCAGAACTTCTAATCCAGAAAGGTTATAATGATCCATCAACTTATGTGGTTATGGCAAACATGTTTGCAATTAAAAAGGAATGGAGCAAAGTGATGGATATGAGAATGAAGATGAAAGAACTTGGGTTGAGGAAGAACCCCGGTTGTAGCTGGATTGAAGTTGACAAGAGAATGCACACCTTCTTTGCTGATGACCAATCATTACCAGCTGCCGAAATGGTATACCAATGTCTGAACACAATAAGAAACCATATTGACACATCTGAAATTATGGTGATTTGGGACCAGTGGCATTGCCACCAAGACATGGTGAATCTTTGAAAAGTACACATCGAACGTGAAGGTAACGCAACAACTATGTCGCAAATGTTGCTTTTTAAACATTTACCAGCGGTGCATAATAAATGTTGATAAATCATAATAATAAAAATGTTGATCAATCTGAGGCTTTTAAAGAAATGTTAATTACATCATTATGGTTATAAATCATAATAATTTTAGCAGGAAAAAAACAGTTTTATGTAGATAATTCCTGCAGTTACTGCCCAAAAACAGAACTATAGACTCCTCCCTATAAAGGATTGTACATAATATCTTTGATAGTATATGTTGACAGGGGTGTTATCCATTGTGTTTAGCATAAGACATGTCTTCCAGGGCTTCTATATAGCACGGTGGTGGGCGTGCTATTCGTGGTCGAGTAAATAATGGTGCTTTTGTTGGTGCGGGAACAACCCGAAACTTGTCTTTAGGGGAACATATGACTGAATGGTCATCACTCACCCAACACCCCCGCATCAAATGCAAGCACCTCATTTGCTTCAATTACTAGGGCTGATCTGTTTATGTAGCCTAACGTGACACAACAAAATGTCCCACACACAGCACTGCGACCACATCATAGTCGGTGAGTAAGTAATTTATTTGAAATACCCAATTATTCTTGTAATGTTTCAACTATAAATGCAGCTGATACATGTTTGTTATTAAACATTCATTATTATTCAATATTTTTTGTAGTCTGAAAGTAAATCATAAAGTGAAAAGTCTTAGAAAACTATTGTCACAAAGTTGTTTACTGGATGACCACCCAACTATGGAAGTTTGGAACCTAAGGCTCGTGAAGAATACATATCACGATTCTTGGTAAATACTTGTAATATTATTTTGCATCTTTTTTTTGTTTTACATTCTAACTATTCTGGTTGTTATGCAGCAAGAGTATACATGGACACCGTCAGATAATGGACAAATGATTTCCAAACTTCATTCAACGTTTTCTAGTCGTTATACGGCACGCATGTCAAATATGAGACTACATGTACAAAAACAAAATCCAGATTTTCTTGAAGATCAATATTATACAAGATTCATTCCCTACTGACCAGAGCTTGTAACTCCTCACACATGGGTTAAATTATGCAACTATTGGAACTCTGATGAATGGAAGAAGTCTGAATTTGTAAGGTGTAATCGTGTTGGTAAGATAAAACATCCAGTTTGCATTAAGTATATAAAATTAAGCTGGCACATTACACAGCTTGATTTAGCTTTTATGTAAATAAAATATAACTATGGTCCAGTGTATTTTAGGCAATGAAAGCTAAAACAAATATGTAGGAAACCTTGGTGAGGGTGAAGTTCCTGCTAAAACAAAAGGTAGAAAGTCAAGAGAAGTTTTTTATTTTGAAATCGTAAGTAGTTAAAGTTGTTTTGGATTGATTTTTGGATGTGATGTACTATGTATAATTTATGATTAATTTTTATTTAATTAATAGGCGGTAGAAATTGGCCGAATTCCCATAATGGAGGACTTTGTTGATGAGTGGTGTACAATTGACCTTACACAGACCAGCCGCATCCGACAACCCATGCTCGTTGATTGGTATGGTGATTGTAAAAGAGTAATTTTTTGTGTGTGCTAACCTTTATCCTTCTAAATGTGTAGCTAATTACTTTGTATTGTTGCCCATATGTTAATATTATTTTGGAAGAGCAGATTTTTGTACGAAAACACCCATAGTAGGGGAAAACTCAATGGATAGATAGAAGCTCTAGAAATGAGGAAACTGTGATATAGTTTAATTTACATTACTATTCTGTAATACAGTAATTTTATCGTGTACGCATGAAAGAAAAATATGGACCAGATCAGGCACAACATCCGATGTTTGACTATGAGATATGGGCAGAGATTGGACTATTAGTTGGCGTACCAGGACAATTATCTCATCCTCATTTGCTTCAACCATCTAAACCGGAGGAGGTATACTATTACGTAAAATTCTTGTATCTATGTTTTTTTGTATAATAAAAATCCAATACTAACTACTTATATAAGTCTAATTTATCCGTTTGGGAATTTTTTTACTACTTCCTACTCCGTATAATTTATCCTATGTGGAGGTGGAGGCATATGACAATACACGTATTTTCCTATATAATTTAGGAGAGATTGAACCTAGAAGTGGAGAGTATGATGAAATAGTGTGAATGTTTTGAATGTGAGTCATTCATTTGGGAATACCCTTTTAGGATTTACAAAGGCAGTATATATAGGAAAATCCGTGTCTAGGCTTCTAATGTGGGTCTAACAGACCCGGTTATATAAATAGACTAATAATATAAAAAGCTAATCTAGAAGATACAAATGATCATAAGCTTACAATATTATAAATAACATGCGCTAAGCGTGTGTGAGCCGTTGTCCAGGCCCAAAAGTCGTGAGAGACCTGGAGTCTGAGTCTGTATACTCTATCAGTAATAACCATTGAGATTTTGCATGAGACTGACTTTGCTTTGAGTGTGCTTGATTATTTTATTTTAATATAGGCGATTTCTATTAGATATAAACAAACTTTTATAAATTGATACATTTTCTAAGTATTATACGGTCCTATCCTTTTTCCAAATTCTAATTTAAAATGATTAAATGATCAAAAAATCTAAAATGCTTAAAACGTTGTGTATGAAATTAAAAGTGAAATACTTTTGTTCAAATTTAATTTGATATTTGTAAAAATATTCTTCTTCTATAATATAGTTAAATATTGTGTAACGTGTAAGAGATAAATTGCAGTATCACCATAACAAATTAAATTTTAGAGTGAAGTTTGTTTTCTAGTGACATCATTATCACTAAAAATGTATGCTAATGATGGTGACATCATTATCACTAAAAATGTATGCTAATGATGGTGACATCATAGCCTATTAGAGACTTGCATTGGCTTACTAAGTAGATGTTTCAACAAATCTACAAATTCAGTTCAAAAGCTCCAAGGATCATTGCCAGATATTGTCTCATATTTCCTTTTCAGTTTGTCTTATTAAGATTGTTTCATATCAAATTTGATAAAATTTGTGTGATTCTAAATCATTCTTACTTTATTCAATATCAATTACATAAATTCATTTTTTAATAAGTACCTAAAATCACTTTCTCGTACCTCAATATTAGTGGGACGTAGTAGTAATTGACGGTTGTTTGTTGGAAATGTTTCTAGGAGATTAAATTATTCCCTAAGCGAATATAAGCCTGGCAGGCATTGATCCTATGTATCTATGGACACCATGTCCCATCCCAACCAGCAGGTCTAGCACTAAACAAACTTGAAGTTATATTACAGGATTATGGATCGCAAACCCATTCATAAAAAAAGCTGCCAAGCACTGACCGATTAAAGACTGTTACTCATTCTTCAAAGGAGATTTTCAGCAATGGACATGCCTGTTAGTAAGTTCTTTGTTTCCTCCCCTCTCTTTCAAAACATCTATTTCATGTCACTTCTGTACGTATTTGTTTGCATATACAAAGGTACATACTTGATTGACGTTTTTGTAAAACATCTATTTAGGATTTTAACTCATTCAATAATTCGACACGTTCATTAATATGTTTGGACGTTTCTCTCTTTTGGGTTTCGTATCATTTGTCCATAGATAGACTGATAGACAGATAGGAAGATGGCAGTAAAAAGATGCAGTTTTGGATTGATTGTATGCTTCTTCATTTTTCCATGTAGGGTACAACAACAACATCCAAGCCTCAGTCCCAAAAGATATTTTTTCCATGTAGGGTACAAGTGTATATATAATATAACTTGGAAATTGTTCAACAGAACGGTTTCAAAATTCCTTTGGGCTGATTTTTAGTAGAAAATCTAGTTTTAGTGCAAAACATTGAAATTTCACTTAAATATTGAACTAATCTGATACCCTAATGTCGAAATGTCAAGAAACATGCTTTAATCACTGAATTTGAAAATTGCATATTTCTTGAAGAATTTATTTGCAAGATTGAAGGAAAAATGTTGAGTAACACCCATTTCAACCAATAAGTCAAAAGCTAATTAGGAGAACTAGCCATAATCTGCTACCAAACGGAGCTTCGAGGGAACATACTTTTACATCATCATATCTTTGCAAGTGCGCTTGGTTATTATGGTATATGATGGACTGGTGTCAAGCTAGTGCTGGACAATTTGTGTCACATGCATACATAACTTTCTTATTATTGTGACATAAAAAGATTTCCTGTTTCCAGTCAGTATATAATTTGAATGTTCCATTATTTAAGAATAAAATTACATACAACTATTCAGTGGACGTTGGGGTTGGAAGAGCAGAAACTAACAGAGTTCAAGAACCATTTGAGGGCATGGCATTCGAGTCTGAATCGGCAGGAAGAGCACTCTATGTGTATTAACCCATGTATTATCTTCTCGTAGGTCTCAATATGAAAAATGTGTTATATCACGTGAACTCGGATGTAGAGAAGTTCTGCACACTGTAAAGGATGCAAGCATGAAGCAGTATTATAGACAGCGTGAAGGTTGTGAAGCAATGATTGTAATACAGAGAGAAAAAAAATGGGACCATGTGAGTGGTGAGGAAGTTTGTGAGAAACCATAGTCATCCCTTGACGGCAGATTCACCCCTCAATGGCCATTTATCTTCCGTAAGATTCCTTTTTTCTTTCTTTTTTGTATGAAAAAGTTATTGTGTTTGTGTTCTGTGATCGTTAAGGTTTGTCTGGAATTTGGATAAAGTTATTGAAAGAAAATCTAGGGAAATTTTGGAATGGAAATGTGAGGAAAACGGTAAACATTTGTTCAACCTGAAATGAGTTATTCTTGATATTTGTTAGAATTACACATTGCTCAGTTAAGGAGCAAGTCATGGGTTAATAAGTCTATGAGTTGAACTAACAAAAGGGTTGGATTCAAACTTTGAGTGTCTTATGGCCCAATAGAGGTTCCCAAATCCAATCCTGAATTTTATGGCCCAATTGAAAACTCAAAATATGTGTGAATCTTTTAAACACATTAATCATATTTCATTACCCTTTTGCATTTGTTTGAGGTAAAGCCAAACACAAGAATGCAGATTTTCTTATCTTTATTTTCTTTCCTTGGTGTTTTATGGGATCCAAGCGCACCTCAAATAATTCTATTTATTTGCCTCGTGTGCAGCTTTGCAATTATATTCTTCTTTGTGTATAGCTATAAGCCTATAATGATAGATGAATCAAGAATGTTTGTTTGCATGTGGCTCTCAAGTATAACATATGTTGAAGCATATTGTGTTTTTATTTTTTTAAAAGCTTTTCAAGTAACACTTGGGTAAAATAAAATCACTATATGACATGATTCGACTAGGGCTGCAGAAGTAAGTTATGTTGTGTAACATTATTAGATATAGCAGTAAGTGGTGCACTAAATATGTAGTCCTCTACTCCTCTTTGATTTTGGTCATGATTTCCTCAATACATCTTTTGTTTTCTTTTCTTTTCTAGCCAAAACTATATTTCTCCCATTTTATAAATGATTAGGAGAAAAGAAAGCTATCACACAAACACGAAAGCCCATCCATAAGTGCTATAAGTGCTATCTCATTTAAGGACTTGACTGAAGTGTTCTTTGAAAGCCCTCTTATATGCTTCTTCCCTGCTTTGTTATGTAAGAATTAAAAATATTATTTGTCCTGTAAAGGTACTTTTCAATAAAGGTGGGAGGACTAAAGGTCAAAAGGAATACGAATTGTGCACCCAAAGTGGAAGATTTAAAAGTTAAAGCTGATAGTGGAAATGACTAATTACTCTTGCAAAATACAATGGAAAACTCTTCAATACCAGTCTTAACTGTCATAACCTTTATTTGTTATGGTATAATTCCGATTTTCCCCGTTTACTAACGGCACGGTTACGTCTTTCATCTTTATCGTACATGTGTATGAAAACACTAGGGTGCATGATAATGGTGCTATGCGCATAAGTTAATGATATAGAGAATTGGAACTCCCTGAGGCAGTTCATGCTATAAAAACTGAAATTTTTGCCATTTCCAATGCCAAACCTTTTCCCTCTAATACCACCCAGAACCCTTTCACCATTTGTATAACTAAACCCTATAAGCCCAATAATGCTTTAGATGTTAAGTCTTGGACAAAGCCTCCCACTGGTCGCCACAAAATAAACCTTGCCACAAGGCAGTTTACCCCTACCCTGTGCCGTACTGCTGCAACCCGCTGGTCGCCACAAAATCCGTGATGAATGAGGCAACTATTTTGGCCACCCACCACTTGCACGCATAATAGTCATGATCTGACCATAGCCTCTTATGATGCTATCATTGACACTATTCTCCACATCATTAATACTAATGTGTCTAATTTTGTTCTTGAGGTTGATAATAGGGACATTTACGAAGGAATGAAAGGACTGTCACCTCAACATTGGAAGCACTGGACTAGCTACAAGAGATCCAGAGAAGGCTCAAAAACTACAACTGTACAATCACGCATATCCATCCAAAGATCAATAGAGCACGGAGTATTTGGCTCTTAGAAACATTTCTATAAAAACCTTGAATCATCACTTTAATCATTTTGTTGGTATCTTAAAGTTTGATGCAATTGGTTATCCTTATGCATTTGATTCTGAGTAGGTTTTGGTATAATCCTCCTACTCTTTGTAGTAAGTTTTCTTTCATAATAAACACTTAAACAGGTAGGGTGTTCCCTGGCCCCTACTCCAAGAAAGCCAATAAGCTTTCTTGGTCTCCAACCAGGTCAAAAAAAAAATAGCGAATTGGAATAACTATTGAACCTTGTAATTGTAGTTGTACTATAAGTCTATACTTATTGACAATCATTTTCTTATACGTTGAAGATTTGGTAATGTTATCACTTGGCACTCTGAATTACTTTGGGTTTGTTTAGGTAATGGCGTTTTACGCCAAAACACTATTTATGCAATACTTGAACGCTGCAATATGCCGGCCTGCCGGGTGTTGATGGATGAAACGCCAAAACCCAAACATGAGCTTTATCTTCTTGGTTAAGTCCGTTATACATAAAGACAATACACAATAATGTGAATTCAAAATATAATATTTTATGCATTAATTTTATCTATTGCGATTTATTTTCTTTTTCTCTTTTTTTCATTAGAAAATGTTCAAGCATTATTGATTGGAAAATTTTCACTTTTTGCTTTAGGAGTATATATATTCTTCTTATGTCAAGTGTCAACCCCACATCAGATTCGTGTTTTTTTACTTGCATTTGGTAAATTGAGAGTAGAATAAAATATTTAAATGGATGTGTGAAAATTGATATATAGAAATTGAGGTATTTAGAGAAATATTAGACCACCACCACCCTACCCCCAACCCACTCCCAAATGGCTATATAGCCATTTATAACTATTGGCAACAGCTATGCCACACCACTCCTTAATCAATTTTTAAATGATGACCCAAATGAATCTTAATAATATCATTTATGTTTGGCCTATATAATCTCACATACAAACTTTACTTTTTATTTTATCATTTCTGCTAGAATAACTCAATAAAATCTAGAAAAAAATTCCCGGTTATTACTAATTGACTCTTGATTTCTAAATATTTGACCCTTTTCATACATTCCAAAAAAGTGACTTGTTTGTCTTTCTCCCTTCACGCACGCTGCTTCCCTTTCATTCGCCGCAAGTCATCGAATGCCAGGCCATTCGGCATCTCACGGTATCCAACGAACATCTCATCTCCCCCAACGCAGCTTTCTCCATCTTCGCTCCCAGCGAATTGAAGCACACACCCGCACCATTCAACTCCTCCTTCCTCCTATCTACAGACCTCAGCTTCCCTTGCAATCGACCCTACAGTTTCCATCTTCCGGCGCAATCTACCTTCACGAATGGTAGGATTTTAACCTCCGTCGTCGGCAGCAGTATGGACGAAAACTCCGATTTGAGGCCTATCTTCTCCCATGGACGAAGACTCCGATTTGAGGCCGAAAGTTCTGGATCCACCTTCCTCAATGGGTGACGACTCGGTTTTGGGCCCGTCGGTGCTGGATTTGCCATCTTGAAGGGCAATGACTTCGATTTAGGGCCGCCACCGCTGGCGGAGGTGCGGTTGTTGTATTCTGTTCTTCCTGCTTTCCTCAAATGAAGAAAGAAAGCTTGAATCTGCCTGCTTCTTGTCCTCTGCACAGGCCTGCTCGCTTCCTCCATTCTAGATCTACGGCAATGTTGCAGCGTCTGGGGAGTGGCGGGGTAGCGATGGTCCAGGGATTTGGGTGACAGGGGCATGGGAGATGAGATTGGGGCTAGAGAAATGGGGTGGGGAGCTGGCGGTGGAGCTGGGGGCTGGGGAGGGGGAGGTGGCTGGGGGCCGGGGAGTCAAGCCGGGGACAGGGCGGTGGTGGCACGATGATGGGCAGAATCAGCGGTAGGGTGGTACGGTTTCACTGTGGTGGTGAAGGCGTGACTATAATGGGCAGGGGCAGGGGTGTGCGGGTTGCGGCGGACTAGTCGGGGCGGCGAGGGCAATCACTGACTGAACGATGGCGGCAGTATCACTGACCGACGACCAAAGTCACTGGACGGGGGCAGCGACGGCAGTCACTAGACAGGGCGGCAGGGATAGTCACAGGATGGGGCGGCGACCGCAGACGAGGCGGTGACGGAAGTCACTAGACGGGGGCGGCAGCGGCAGTCACCAGATTGCACGGCAGCGGCAGTCACTGAACGGGACGGCGGTGTTGGCGTGCACTAATCGTGGCAACGGTGGCAGTCACCGGACAGGGTGGTCACTATTTGAAAATTGAAAGTGACCAAAATTGAAAGTGACTAAAATTGAAAGTGACTGCCAGTCACTGCGTATCAATTCTTAATTATACGGCCAGGTGTATTAGAAGGTCATATTATTGGAAATTTGTGTTTTAGCTCACTTTTTTTATCAAACCGTCTCTACTTAGTAATATCTGTATAATAATTTGTGTTTTAGCTCACTAATGGAATGATGAAGAGAAGAGAGTAATGAGGAATCGGTAAATTGCTTAAAAGTGGGCATATTGATTTGGTTTAACTGGACTAAACCGTATTATAAAGAAATTAAGACTGAAGAAATTTCATTTTGTCTTTGATCAATGCAGAGTACAATATTTATATACATAAATGGAGGCAACTGAAAAGTTAAAGAACACATGTCTATCCTAGAGAAAACAAATGGGTGGGACTAATAATTAGTTAATTACAAAGTAATTAATACAATAAAATAATCCCAATACCCCCTCAAGTTGGAGCATGAAGGTCCGTAATGTCCAACTTGCATAATAATTCCTGAAAATTGCTTCACCAAGAGCTTTGGTATGAATATCAGCCAATTGAGACGAAGTGTGCACATAAGAAGGTGAGATAGTCCCTCAAAGAATTTCATCACGGACAAAGTGACAATCAATTTCAATGTGTTTTGTTCGCTCATGAAACACATGATTATGTGCAATATGTAAAGCAGCTTGACTATCATAGTGTAACGGAACTAACGATGTTTGCAAGACACCTAAATTCTTCAACTAACAAAGCTTTTAACCATAGGATCTCATATGTAGCGGATGCCATAGCACGGTACTCGGCTTCGGCAGAAGAGCGCGAGACAGTAGCTTGTTTCTTAGTTTTCCAAGAAATCGGCGAACCACCAAAAAATACAAAATAAGTTGTGATAGAGCGTATACTCGAAGGAAAACTAGCCCAATCTGCATCACAATAGGCTTCCAACGTAAGATCAGAATTAACTTTCAACAAAATTCCCTGTCCGGGGCTAGATTTTAAATACCGTACAACCCGAAGTGCTGCCTCCCATTGTGACTTGGTTGGTTGTAGCATGAATTGTGCCAGAATATGGACCAAGTAGCATAGTTCAGGTCGTGTAATAGTTAAGTAGATTAAGCAGCCGACAAGACATCGATAACATGAAGGATCAGACAATGGTTCATCAGAGGCCAATGCCAGGCGGTGATTTTCCTCCATCGGAATAGTAGCAGGTTTTGCACCAAGAAGGCCAGTCTCAGTCAAAATGTCAAGAGCATACTTACGTTGATTGAGAAGTATTCTGCTTTTATTACGAGCAACTTCAATGCCTAAAAAGTATTTTAGCTTTCCCAGATCTTTCATATGAAACCGATTGCTAAGATAAGCCTTGAATTGAGCAATGGTTGTGCTATTGTTTCCAGCAATAACCAAATCATCAACATAAACCAAGATACTCATACTAATACATCCCTTTTGATACACGAACAAGGAATGATTAGATGTACTAGCACAAAATCCATATGCACATAAAGCAGCGACAAGTTTTGCATACCAACAACGAGGAGCTTGCCTCAAACCATATAGAGATTTACGAAGCCTACATACCTTTCCTGGTCTGTCGATATTGAATCCAGGTGGCAGCTTCATATAGACTTCTTCATTGAGGTCACCGTGAAGAAATGCACTGTGCACACCCATTTGATGTAATTCCCAATTCTTATTTGCGGCTACTTTTAGAAGAGTGCGAACTATCACCATTTTCACTGTGGGAGAAAAGGTCTCAACAAAGTCTACTCCCTCGGTCTGATAATTACAAAAAACAAGTAATCGTGCTTTGTATCGTTCAACAGTACCATCATACCAACGTTTAATGCAGTACACCCACATGCATCCAATAGCGGACTTCCCAGGAGGCAAATCCTCCACACTCCATGTCTGGTTGTCCTCCAATGCTCTTATTTCCTCTTCCATTGCTTTTCTCCAACGAGGATCACACATTGATTCTTTAAAGGAGGTTGGTTCCTTTTCCGCTGCAATTGCTGCAAGGTAACGACGATGGGCAACAGAAAAAAGCATTACAGTTCACAAAATGAGTTATAGGATAGGGAGTACCTGGGGACGAAGCAAGTGTGGGTGTAGCATCTGTGGGGGGAACCGGCGTCATATATGTAACATAATCTCGGTAGTGGACATTTGGAAACTTCTTTCATCTTCCTTTACCAAGATTTTCACTAGTGACATCCTCTGCAATATGTTTTTGTTCACCTTCATTGAAATTGGTCCCATGTTGAGAATCGTGTGCTTCATTTTCAACTTCGTGCACCTCTAGCTTGTTGTTCTGGGTCCAAGATTTCTTCTTGATTTTGGGAAGTTACCTTTTCAACTTGAGAGTTGCTTTGCATGATGTTCAAAGGTTCTGCTTCAAGATCAACAGATTGTGTGCCACAAGGATCAGAATGAATGACTCGATCTCCATCAAGAGTTACACTCTCCAGCTCACCTTCTAATATGTCGGATTTAAATGCAGCACCTCATTTTTGTTAACAAACGGAAAAATATTCACATAAAATACCACATCTCGTGACTGAAAATATTCCCCGGTTCCTAAATCAAACAAGTTCCAACCCTTTTTCCCAAAAGGATACCCGAGAAAAACACACCGACGACTTCGACTACTAAATTTATTATGCAAATTGAGCTCCTTGGCATAACAAAGACATCCAAAGACTCGTATCAAACTAAGATCTGGAGGTCGTCCAAATAATAACTCTAGTGGCGTTTTGCCACTAAGAATACGTGAGGGGGTTCTATTAATTAAGTAGGTTGCAGCAAGCACACATTCACCTCAAAAATCAATAGGTAGAAAACTTTGAAAACGTAAAGCACGAGCTACATTCAAAATGTGACGGTGCTTACGTTCTACTCTAGCATTCTGTTGCGGTGTTTTAACCATTGAGGTCTGATGAATAATTCCTTCTTCACGTAGGTAGTTACTCAACTTTTTAAACTCAACCCCGTTATCACTACGTAAAATTTTCTCCCTTTTTTTAAATTGTCTTTCGATTAGTGCAAAGAAATTCAATAGCAAAC